TGGGAAAAGGAGCTGGAGCAAACCGCCCCTCCAACAGCACCCTGACGACACTCCCCACCATAGACAGGAGATGACCAGGGCTGCATGGGAAAGAAGAAAGGTGAGACCAACTTTCTGGGGCTCCACAGAATTAACAAGAACTGCTGGCTTGATGTGCTTAGTAAATAAACCATCAGGCGACAGGGTTGGAGAGATGGCTCAGCAGTTAAGAGCACTGGCTGCTGCTCTTGCAGAAGACCCGGGTTCGGTTCCCAGAACCTACATGGTGGCTAACGACCATCAATAACTCCAGTTCCAGGGGATCCAATGCCCTCTTCTGACTTCAAGGGATGGTTCAATATACGCAAGTCAATAAACTTCATTAATCATATAAATGGGCTCAAAGACAAGAACCACAAGAACAGATGCAGAGAAGACCTTTGACAAAATTCAGCATGCATTTATGTTCAAAGTCCTAGAGGGACTTGGAGTGGAGGGCACATACCCCAACATAATTAAAGCTATATATAACAAACCCACAGCCAACATCATTCATTATAAATGGAGAGAAACTGGAAGCATTCCCATTGAATTCAGGAACCAGATAAGGATGTCCACTATCTCCACTCTTTTACAACATAGTGCTTGAAACTCTAGCTAGAGCAATAAGACAGGAGAAGGAAATTAAAGGAGTAATAATTGGAAAACAAGAGGTCAAATTATCACTTTTTGCAGATGATTTGATATTACACCTAAAAGATCCCAAAAGTTCCACCAGAAAACTCCTAGAACTGATCAACACTTTCAGTATAGTGGCAGGTTATAAAATCAATATGCAAAAATCAGTAGCCTTTCTATAGACCAATAACAAGCAATTGAAGAAAGAATACAGGGAAATGCTCCCATTCACAATTGCTGCAAGAAAATTAAAATCTCTTGGCATAAATCTGACCAAAGACACCAAAGATCTCTACAACAAGAATTTTAAATCATTAAAGAGATTGAGGAAGACACCAGGAGATGGAAGTACCTCCCATCCTCATGGATTGGCAGAATTAATACTGTGAAAAATGACCATTCTACAACAAGCAGTACATAGATTCAATACAATCCCAACAAAATCCCCATGACATACTTCACAGAATTCGAAAAATACATACTTAAATTTGTATGGAAGCACAAAAGACCCCGAATAGCAAAAGCAACCCTGACCACAAAGAGCAACACTGGAGGGATTACAATACCAGATCTCAAAGTTTACTACAGAGATGTAGTCATAAAAACAGCATGGTACTGGCACAAA